TACAAATTGTAAAAAAATCTATTTATTTTAAACTCTCCCCCATCATGGACTGATATCAGCTTCATCACACAGCTCTACTGGAACTCATAAAAATAATAATACAAGTTTCACTTCTAAGTTTGAATCTTAGTTCTTGTAAAAAGGCAAAATATTTCAAATATCTTTCATAACAGGAACATTGTTTCTATCCAATTTCAAAATATATTTTCATTCTAAGACGTTTAGAATTTAGCAGGTTTAAATATTTCCAATGTTCCTTCTTTCATTTTAAATTAATTACTCTTTTCCCATTTCTTTAACTATTCATGCGGTTTTCATTATGCTAATATAAAAAAATTTATGATTTTGTTGACATTTTAGTTTATTATTTACAGATAAAGAGCTAAAGATAAAAGAGAAATCCAAACAACTTATTATATTCTAGCCGATTTATATCTGGACTTTTTTTTCGGGGCCTGTTTGTTGAAGTTACTCGTTAAAACGTATAAGTATTAAGGAATTGGAAGAGTTGTGGAACAAAAGTATTCATACCCAAACATTTTGGTCTGAGGTGGGGGTTTTTCAGGCTGGAAGTAGCGATGGTTGAAGTTTTCCTTTCAGAATAACAGAGCAAACATTGAGAAGCTGCTCAGGTTTAAATAGAAGGCCTGATTTCTGAGACGCAAAGGAGAGATCGTCATTATCATTATCAGGACATAAGTCTAACTGATATGTCCTGAAGATGGTTTATTAAAAAAAAAAAACATTTATTAACAAATGAAACATTTAAAACAGAAAGCAACAGGAGGAAGAGGCAATGTTTGCTCTTCATGTGATCTTAAAGCACGGCTGCTAAAGAAGGCCATGAAACTATCAACTCATCAGCCGATACAGATAGAAGGAAAAAACAAAACGCTATCAGCCAAAGATATCTGCCTGCAGATGCACGGGCCTATCTGCTGAACCCAGGCATGCAGAGTATATGACCCCAGGCTGCAATCGGCCTGCTGGAGGAAACATATTTTGATAAAATGTAAGAAAAACCAAATCATTTACTTATTTATTTTTATAATCTGAGTGACGTTTGTGTCCTTTCCTGTCAGATTGGTAGGAGGCCTATATGACGCTCAAACATAAATGTATTTTTTATGGGCAGATTGAACTCCAAGACCTTCAGTGAAGGACCCAGGAAGGATGAACACATCTGTCTCCTCGCAGTGCGTCTCCGCTGCTCCGACACGTCTGACATACCGACGGCCTGATTTGCTCTGCGTTTGTCCTCAATCTTAAGCCCCCCCGCCCCTCAGTATCTGCTCAGAAAATATAATAACGCTTCTTTCATTAAAGGGAGTAATTTCTAACGTAGAGGACGCCACTACAAATGTCCTCTGATTACTAAATGGAACAGAGCAATGATCTATGGAGCCATTAGGGGAACGGGCTGGAACTAATTTCAATCCTAGAATGGACCGATGGGAACACACACACACACACACACACACACAGAGACAAACAGAGGGATCAAAGGATGGAGAGGGAGGAACAAACAGCAGCAGCATGTCGGCCATTTTCTGCTCTGACACATTCTAAACTGATGTTCTGTCAGCAGACGGTCAGGGACGGGTCCGTTTTAACAGGACAGGTTGGTAAATCTGCGAGTTAGTGGTTACTGATGGGTTTCCTTCATGGCGTCAGAGCAGGAAACATCAAACTGGGTTCTGCTGATTGTTCTACGGCGGAGCGGCACTACGCCGCGGTGTCCCAGTTCAGTCATCAATCCCAACACAGAGAGCTGGAGATGAACAGCAGACAGCGGGGCGACCAGAACCAGATACCGTCCCAGAAATGATCAGGATCGCGCATATTTCTCATGTTTGGGAACCATTTTCAAAGAATAATAATGGAATTACAAAAAAAACCCTGTAAAGATCAATTAACTTTTATTTCTAAAATTCGGAACTGGAAGAAATTTTGAATATTCAAAACGATTAACAAATAAAAAAGAACCTACATAAAATAAATAGAAAATGTATTTGAATTAGAGCTGGGATTTTAATTATATTGATTTTAATGAAAGAAAAAAATAGAACTTTTTAATACATATTAAAATTAAAGTATTTATATCTTTATATCTTCTGTTATAATTAATATCTTTGGTTTCTTGTACATCTAATGAACAGGCAGCACCATCTCAGTGACAGAGCAGCATTAACATGTAAACAAATCAACTTACAATTGATTCATGTCTTATTAGATGAAAATACTTTCATTTGATTAATTGATGACTTTAGCTAAATTTCGTTGGAACTTTCCCACCACCAATAGAGGGTGTCGTTTATTCCGGTCAGGATTATTTATGCGGTTTAATGGCAACGAGGCAGAACTTTAAAAATAAAAACTCCTTAAATCACTGAAATAACATCCAAAGTAAACCAACTTCAACCCCTGTGCTTCATGTGAGCATTACACTCCACTATTATAACATGATAGAAACAGACGTGTTAGAACTTAGCACAGCAGATGGAGAGGAATTCTGTCTGTATCGCACTTCGTGAAACCGATTAGCCTTCCTCTGAGAGCAAACAGCCACTTTAAAGGGGCGGCTAACAGCTAACAGTGACGGCTGATGGTGGATGACGCTAAAAACAGAGAGCTATGTCACAGTTCCCATCCACTTGATTGAAACCATTAGCGTAACTATCGGTAAGCAGAGACTGGAGTTGCTTACATCTTTAACCAATCTGATTGTTTAATTACCTAAATAATGGATTTAAAACAATTCATATTTGTGTTGCTGTGCGAATTTGAGTTCTTAATAATTCAGGAGCAAAATGGCGTTTTGAATTAAAAAGATTTCTTTGTTAATACGTTTTTGATTGAAATTAAATTAGCGATTAACTAATTACAGACCCATTCATTAACTTGATTAGAAATCTCCACCCAGTCTCCCCGCCAATTAGAATAAAGACAAAACTAATTCAAAAACAATAGAATGGAAATGAAAATCCTAAACAATCCAAACTATGAATACAATGGGAATATGCAGTCTGGAAAATTGCTCTTCACGTAATTACAATCAGCCTTGGAGAGCAAAAAACAGGCAAAACCGACGGCTTTCTAAACGAGAGCAACAGAAAGACTTGATTAGAGTGAGAACAGAGACGCCAAAAGGTCTATTTACCCAGGAAAATGGCGGCGGGGGTCAGAGGTGAAAGGGCAGCATCTCAAACACACCTCAGAACAGGAAAGGAGGAATTCAGACCAAATCATAATTTCCACTTTAAATAAACAGACAGGCAGAGCTCAGTGGTTTCTAGGTAAACCAGGACATGAAACAGTCACGCTCTCCAAACCACTGAAACTTTCCCTTTGTGGGTAGGGCTGTGGGGGGAAAAAACTATAATTTGACGATATATAGTGATTTTTGTATCTCTGATACAATATAAATCTTTCTTTTTAGAGAAAAAAAAAAGACAGGTGGTTTGAAAGGGGTGTAAAGGAAGCAATTTATGTTAAAAGAGAAAAACCATCCTTAAACTGAGGGGTTTCAGCTCTCAAAAACCTACAACAGCGATACAGTTGATTCTTTCCAAATACCATCTTAACCCCCATCGCTATGAAGGTTACAAAATATCTCACCAGGTCAGCCAGGCCAGCAATGACCCTTAACGACTGCTTTTTCAGAGGAATGGACCAGTATCGGGTATTACAGGCTAACAACCACTTATACGACTATGGAAGAAAATCGTTACCATATTTAAAATAGAAAAGCATTTCTGGAAATGCTTTTCTATTTTAAATATGGTAACGATTTGCTTCCATATACGGCTCCCATTATTAAGGGCTGGGTCTGGTTTTCCAGTTTCAATGCTTTCTAAGCCATTATAAGGCTTTTGTTGTGCTACCCTATAAAAGCCTGGAACTCCTGAGAAAGCTTCCTGAATGGGAAGAGAAACTTCTTCAAACTTGGAAAACAAAGTCCAGCGGATTGTTTTTAAACTTTAACTTTTTGCAATGAGGGAAAATGTGCTGCCTCTGCAGCACCACTCTGGTAGATAGTGCTATGGAGCCACTTTGCTGTGCGCTGCAGCTCCATTTCTGTAGTTGAGGTAAACTCAAAACATGGATTCTGGTGAACATAAATAGCACCTACTTTTTTATCTATACATTCCATTTTAACAGCTGGGTAAATCTCAATAAATAGTGATATTGCAATATTGTGATGATATTGTATACTCACCCCTGATTGTGGGGTATAAGTGTTTTTAATACTTTAAACTTGTTGAACCTTTGGGTTAAAATTTAGATTATAATATTATGATACCATGAAATTCTTGCTTCAGGTTCTCATATGTTCTAATCTAGAGTAAATTAAAGCGTGATGAGCAGCATAGAGTAGGAAAGTAAATAAATAAAGGATAAATGTCTGCATGAACAGGATTTAATTTCATTTTCAATGCTTTTAGATGAATATTTATTTTCATATTTTGAAATGTTGCTGCTAGCTTAGCATATTTACTTTGATCTGAATGATCCAAGCCTGGTGATGAAGCTGCAGAGACACAGGTGGCTTTTATTAAGAGGCTACAGATGCCATGCAGAGGGTGTGACATTGTTAAACACCCGTTCACTCTTGAACATGAGACGCAGACCTTGAGTTTGAGTAAAGTCTCCAGACCTTAAGTTAAAGGGCAAAGTTAAATATGAGTCTCAAACCTGACATCTGAGGCAGAATGAGGCTCACAAACATCCCATTCCTGGCTGAATGGATTCAACCCTGAACCTGCAGAAGGCCAGGTTCTGGTCTGTTGCTGCTCTTTGCTAAAGAGGCGGGCTAACCTCAGCGGCCATTTTGGAGCCAACATTAAAGTCTGTACGGCGCCATTCTCTCAGGTCTCCTATCATTTCCTACAGCTACAGACATCAGGACTCCTCCCTGTGCTTAAATACAGAAGCTTTACTGGATCATTGCTGTTGGTTCTGGTTGGCGGGTTTGGTTCTGGGAACTGAAGCGGCCTTACCTTCGATCGGTGACGTTTTGAGCCTGCGACAGACAGTCTGCACATCTCCGTAACAGTCTTGGATCTTGTTGACGGCCTCTGCGCTCCTGAGCTCCATGAGGGCCTTCAGTTCATCCATGGAGATCCCAAAGTCTCCGTCATGGCCGCCCTCAGCCACTGAGTTCCCCGGCGGGTGGTCGGCCGTGTTATTGGCCATGTTGGCGCCTTCTTGTGCAGCTGAGTTCCTCTGATTGTCTCTGCTGAGGGGCTCTGGGTACGGACGCTGCCGTCAGGTGAAGGGACTTCGTTGCTGTGTCTTCCCCCCCCACTCGAGGCGGCTGGTGGAAACTCTTTGAGTTTAGATCCAGGCGTGGATTAGCATGCTCCCTCTGATCACCATGGAAACAAGGAAGTAAACATGTTGCTCTGGCTTCACACTGCAGAGTAAACAGAAACAGGAACATTATTAGAAACCAGATGCAGACTGGAAACCCAAACAGTAACGGAAGCCTGGAAAAGACAAAACACGTAACAGGACTTAGAGAAATAGATTATGAGCGGTGGGAGGAGGTCTTTGGAGCACGATCTGATATAATCAGATCCCCTATGGAGTGAATTTGGTTTCATTATTGTTGCGATGAACATGTTTAGTAAATGGGAATTTGGAAACGATGTAATCCAGAAATGATCTCCCAGTCGTCTGCAGTTGGACTGAACTATATTTCTGTTTCCAGTGTCTGAGAGATAAATGTGAAGAGGTCACACATCTAAGTAGTGGAACGATGTCGTATGGCGATGTCGAAAATAAGAGACGTCTAGCTTTGGTTTTGTACCGTACTCCTGCAAGATAGTATTGGTTTAAAGATCTTACAGACATTTATTATTTCCCTTTTTCAGATCAACTTTACACATTGCATTCTTTTCTAATTGTTTTTACAGATCCCAGCATCCAGAGGAACCAATAGAGTTCCTCACTTCAAAGGAAAGCCCGCCTCAGAAATGAAGAAAATGTTAAGCGCAAATAAAAACATTGCAATTGGTAAAACCTTCTTAAAAAGAGAAATTGCACTGCAAAAACGATCTAGAAATAAGTAAAAATTTCTTAAATTAAGTGTATTTACCCTTAATTTCAGTAGGTAAACAGGACGATCTGCCAATGAAATTAGTATTTTTGCTCTTAAAATAAGATAATTAAATAATACGCACTTGAAATAAGACAATTCAATAGTTTTTTTCTTATTTTAAATGTAAATTGTCTTGTTCCACTGGCAAAGAATTTCATTTACCTCCTCAATTCAAGACAAAATGAACTTGTTTTAAGAAAAAAATGACTTATTAGGATTTAAATTTTTTGCAGTGTTCAAAAAATAATCATCTATCTATTAAATATATTTTTTTTCTAAGGGAGTTTCTGGATGGCATTTTTTCCCCAAATGTTAATTTAACAAAACATTTTCGTTTCTTTCTACAGTAATGGAACAAAATTCCCCCCATAGTTCTCTGGAAGTTCCAACTCTACCCATCTATGACCATAAACTTTTGTTGTTCCAGATGTTTTTTTCCTTTTTTATTGTCATTACACTGTACAGTGTAACAAAATTCACTCTCTGCATTTAAACAGTGGGCTGCCATTGTGTGGCGCCCGGGGAGCACTGTGGGCTCAGAGAACCAGAGTGGCTGCCTGTGGAAGTGGGTTTTGAACTCACAACCTCGGGGTTCCCAGCTCTATACTCTAACCAGTAGGCCACCACTACCCCCTTGGTGTTTCCACAACATAGAAACTGCTGAAACACTTGTTGCCATAGCAACACCATCAACAGTAAACGACAACTTTCCATGACCGGTCCAGCAGTGGAACAGCAGAAGCTCCATTTCCTACTAGTTTCACTTCTTCCTAATGTTTCCATCAAATTATTCATTTTTTAAATCGGACGCATTGATGTTTTTAAACCTTTTGTAAAACAATCTTAGTCATGTATTTAAATAAACACTTTACACAACATGTGAGATATCTAAGTCAGTCAGATTCATGCATGGATGGATGCAGGGAGAAGCATGGAGGTGGTTCGTCATAAGGACAGTGATGTGGTCTCTGCCGATGCTCAGAGGATTGCAGAACAACAAGTCTCTATAACCACACCGACACGCCCATCTCAGTCCAAAGGTAGCTTCTATCTTTGGACCGGAGGCCACGCCCATTCATTTCCTATTAGTCAGCAGGGCTGCGGTTCCTGCTGCTGCTTTCAGACCTGATTGATCACCAAGCACTGCCCTCACAGAAGGCAACCGTCCCTCGAATTATCAACCGGCTTATCGAGACAATCAGGAACTACCTTAAACAATATTAAGAGGCGTGTGTGATGGAGACGAGTGCATTAAATAACAGACAGAGAGGAGCTTCCTTTACCGTCCATATCAGGTTACTACCTCTTTAAAAGCACAACAAAACATTAAGAATCAGAAAATGAACTTCATGATTGTTGGGAAGCAGCCTCTGAACTGACGGACAATAACTTAATACCAGAATGTATCACAATATAATTTAGTTCAACAACAGTGATATGATATTCAAACACATTTCCGGTATTCGTTGGAGTCTGGTTTCAGCGTTTATCACCGTCTGATGCTCGTCAGAAAGAGCCGCTACATGAGTGATGGCGTCCACCGCAGACGGGGAGCCTCTGATCTGTTGCTTTAACACGGTTGGTTTTAGATTGGTGATGCTTTGAGCCGGCCATGATGACATGATCAAACCTCCTGTTCTGGATGACCTGTACAGGGCAGAAGTTATCCCCACAGATGTCTCGGATCGTGTTTCATGAATGAGAAAAAGGTTGTTGTGTGCAGACCATGTAGAAAGCATGATGGTCGTAAAGCAGCAGCTGGTCGACCGGCTTAAAGTTACAATTAGGAAAAATTCTGAGGGCAGCGTTTAAATAAGGACAGCAATCCTGGGATATTATTGGATGTGTGAATTACTGGATTTTGTTTTGAGCGAGTTGATCCTTGCAGAGATTAAGTTTTGGTTCATCACCAGTGCTGTTAACACTCGCTGTGTCAAAAAATAAGAAATATTTAAATTATAATAATAGTGCTAGAATCTGTTTTGAATAAGCAAGGATTTGATAAAAGGAAAAGTCCGGTCAGAAAGGAATAATCAGTGGATCATCATTTATACCTAAAACTAATACGTTTGCAGTGATTTTATGAATTTAGTGTTAATCAGTAAAAAAATGAAAACTATTTTTGTTGCGATCACTGAGTACGGGAGCGGCCATTTTTGCCCAAATATAG